CTATCACTTTTAAATGTATCACAGCATGAGAAAGCCTGAGACTGTGATTTCCAGGGCACCCCGTACCGTGAGAAGCCAGCAGCATTAGCACACAGCACAGCCACACGCTTTGGGGAGCCACAGCCAGCACCCACCAGAGACCTGGGCAGCCTTGCGGATGCTCTGACCACGCTCCCAGGTGCCTGCAAGCCCTCTCCTCTGCTGGGGCAGCTGCACCTCCCCAGTAACCTCTCCTCAAATAGCCAAAAGTGTGGTGGGGACCATAACTGTGTTCGCATTACCGACTTCTGGTGGTGGAGGCATGAACTGTTTCAGTAGTTTGTTGTCGCTTTTTTTTTTTTAAATGGAGGATGTAGGCAAAATTTTGATGTATGCTGCCATCTGCTGTGGCCTTAATATTGTCATAAGCATTTCAAATTCGTTACTGATAGAGGTAATGCTGCTGAGGGTAAGGGTGCCCAAATAAATGATAAATGCCAGTCACACTAGTTGTAAAAAAAGGATATAAAACTCCCTTCCCTTTGACCCTCTATGCAAAACATACTTCAAAAAGTGGGAGATATGTAGAAAGGAATTACAATTTAACAGTAATTTTATGTTTAAGTGCAAATGATTTCCTCCTCAAGCGCTTTATGCTGTGGTGCTTCAAGACAGTCTTATTCTTTATTTTTCCCTTCTCATTTTTTACTCCCTCACTGCCCTCCCTTTCTCATCTGAAAGCTTCAGGGGGACCACATTTATTTTAAGATCAGATGTCAGAGGAGAAGGCCTCATTTCCACTACTGTCCTTGGGAGCCACTTTAATTCATCAAGAATTAAGCGAATCCTTTCTTGGGAAAGCCATAGGCGGTCACCCAGCCACTGGAGCCCCACCAACCTGCCCTGCCCCAGGCTCAGCAGGGAACAGTCCTTGAAAAATGGGCTCACAGGGCAGCATCCCACCTGCTGATGCGGATTTCCATGTATTTAGTCCTCTGCTAAAGGATTAAAACAGTTGCTTTGGCCTTATCTTCTAAGGCTGCGTTTTGCCAAGCTTGTTTTCACCGTGTGGCCGTGCCCAGCCCTGGCTCTGGGGACACATCGATGCGCGCTGGCAACCTCAGAGCAGAGGTCTGATGTGGGTGCCCGAGGCGAGGATGGGCTCCGAGGCGAGGCTGCCAGTCGTGCACCTGCATTTACCTTGCGTAAACGCACTCCAGCATTAGGAGATGGGGGGTCATTAATTTTTTTTCCTCCTGCCCACTGCACTTTTAACATTCGTGTTGCTCAGACCGGCAAGCTGCTCTTCAGGAAAACAAGTCAGTAATGGAGTCAGTTTTTTTTTAATCAGGGAAAAATTGGTCTGACCATTTTGTGCCATCCACAAGGCTGTATTTTTACCTCTCTCCTACCAAATCTTGAAGCAAACTGTTCAAAACCCTACCTGTCCAGCCAGTGTCAATGCTGGGGACGCAACCTGCTGTCCTCTACTAGAGCAGGATCTCCACCAGCAAGAAAATGTATGACAAGAGCAATAGAACAGAGAAGTCTCTGTTTGTGTAAAATACATAGAAACAGAGATTAAAGGCAATGGTCGAATGTGCTCTTTCAGTTCCGATAAGAAACACTCCCTTGTACCTTCCCTAAAGTTAAACTCGCTTCTCACTGTGCTTTATGTAATCTCAGGCTCCTGCTGCCTGCAAGTGTGGTACTGCTTCACACGGGGCTGTTTGCTGAAGAAAAGAAATTTGATCTGCGCATCTTAAAATGGTACTACACTCACAGAGACACTGGAGACTGTGTACCTTCCAGGGATCAAACTAAGTTTGTCACCAAAACCAGCAACATTTACAGTGCAGCACTTAGAATATAAGATTTCAATCATCTCCTTTGTTCGGATGTTGAAGACAGTCAAAAAATGGGACAAGCCAGATCTATTTGTTATTTGAATTTGCATTTACAGACTTCAGCGAATCTTGCCAGTGACACAGCCCCTACAAGAAGAGTTGTGCCGCATCCCCACCTCTGCACAGTGATTGCTTCCTGCTGCAGGATGGGTTAGCGTGTAAAAGCATGTCACCTCTCAGAAAACATTTTTGCTTTCTCAAACAACAAACTTAGGCATTTGTTTTTATGCCTCTCTCTATATCTTTATGGAAATTGCCTTTTTATTTATACGTCTCAAGTGAAAAAAATTAATTTCAGGTTGGCCAAAGGAGAGGGTTTTTTTCTAAAGTGTCTGGGAAAACTGCATATTGAATAGAAGTCAAATCTGGTTCATCCAAACTTATCAATTTTGCCACAGTCTCCAGAATTACAGAATTAAATATCATGATGACAGGAACAGATGATGAATGGTAAAGGAATTTTTCTTCACGTACTGGAAATTTCTTGTAAAGTTATATATTGGATTCATTTTCTGAGTCATGTTGATGCAAGTTTGCTCCACAAGCTGTGCATACAAGCAGGTTGTGTTTCTAAGGGATGCTGTGGCTGTAACGTAATCCTATGTTAAAGCAACCATTTCAACCAGTGATCCGAGTTCACAAGCCAGAAACTGTTTCATCAGCCTCTTCAATAATGTAGCAGATACACACTCCTCTAGTATAAACATTTTAAATACTTCCAAGGTGTTTACCACAAAACTTCTAATCAGGATTAGTTGAACTAGAGCTGCCTTCAGCCCCACCTGGTCTGGCAGGCCTTTGTACATGCACATGCAGTGTAGCTAACTATTTTCATCGAATAGAGAGAAGAAAATCTAAGGAAAAGGAAAGGCTTGGTAACTTGTGTCGCCTCTTTGGAAAGTTACTTTACTGTTTGGCAGTTCATTCCAGCTGTAATACTGACTACAGGTAGAGACAAGCTCATCGATCCTACTTCTCTTTGAATAAAACACAATGCTCATCCCTTCCCACAGCAAATGGCTGAAACCCCCATGTATCTTCACCTGGCTTAACACAAAGAAATATGCTAATATTGTGATTTTTTTTTTTTTTAAACTCTGGCGTGCCTGTTGATGGTGTAAGTTGGGAGAGGAAAATCAGCTTTATAGAGCGAGTCATTTGTATTCTGCCTATACCTAAGACACCACAGCAAGGGACATAGCAGAAGTCAGAAGAAAGATTTGCGGCTCAGTGAACCCTGGCTAGGTCTACCCATAAGTGACTGTCATTGATCTGAGTGTCAATGTGACTTCTTGCTGGGAAGAGTTGACTAGCTTTCTACATTTTACATTGTATTTCTCTTTAATATAAAGGCAGACAACAATGGATACTTATAGTGCAGTCTTTTTATGGAAATAGAAGGAGTTCAAAAGGAATTTTCAGCGGCTGTTTTCAGAAATATGAAATGACAACTCTGTGAGCTCAGGGGCCAGTGCCCTCATCTCCAAACTGCTGATAATACTAAAACACAAGCTGTGTTGAGGCTGTGAAAATGTTATGATAACAAACAGTGAACATTAAAACTCTGGTTCTGTCAAGTTGAAACTTCCCATTCCATTCCAGTTTTTGTGTCAGCTTTGCAATAATGCTTCCCTCTTCCTTTTAACAACATGTTATTTCTTTTTGCCAGGGTCAAAGGTATTGATGCAGCGTCCCTTGATATCAAAGTTTGTATTCACAGAACAAAGTGGAGGTTGACAGTTCATGCGGGTTTGCTGCTTTGTCTCAATTTTGACACGATATGTTGCGGTGAGAACGCAGTTCCAGTTCTGCCAGCGCTTTCTTGCAGCAGTGGTGGATGACGATGCAGATACTAATTTAGAAGCATATAGACTGCATCCAAAACAACATTTCAAGCTGATCAACAGCACTTAATCAGATTATAAGATCAGTTTTGGCTGATATTGAAAAACTCTGACAATATTATCCATTATTCAGCGTACCCAGTCCCTGGCAATCAATTCTAAAATCGACAATTTTCATCCCAGGATTTTTACAAAGGACAAGTGCAAAACTATCAGGCATTTTTCAACTTAACAACACGAGGCTGTTATATTAAAATGGCTTGTAAAGTGGGAAATCACAGCAGCACTTCAGATATTTTGTCCCTTGCCTGGATGGCATCAGTTCATCCGCACCAGTGACGTCACCAATAGGTACAAAGAGTGCAGGATCTATATCATCCTGTCTGCTGAGAAAAGGAGGGGAAACAGGGAAGGCGACTGAGCGTGAGTGCCTTGGTGAACTCTACTACATGATGTGAGCTTGGAAGTGTTCAATGGCTATTGCACTGCGTGGTGCGTCATAGATAGGGCAATGATTTTGGCTCTCTAGCCTATTGAAAGGCAGTAAAGAAACTCCTCTTCCCTTTAAGACTATTCAGTACTCTCAGAATTTTTCAGTGAAGTTACAACCTATGTGTTGCTTTTTCAGAGCTATTTACTGCAAGAAAACACCTAAGAATTCAATTCTTAGGGACTTTATTCACAGCCACATGATAAAAGATTGAGAGATATAAAAAAAAAAAAAAATTCCAGAGATTTTTTATAACAAGAGTTGAACATACTTGCCAAATGCTTGCCAAAAGTGCCAACTACTTGCTTCCTGCTAGCTTTATGGCTTCAAAAAACGCTGCTGCTGCCTGTGCAACAGGGCATGGACCTTGTAGATGAATACTCACAGGAAAAAGTCTTTTGGAAGGTAAGTACTAAAATAATAGCTAGCAACCTGATCTGAAGTTGCTCTATTTTTTTTACTCATGCTGTCTGCAAAACTTTATTGTGATAGCATCCTGGGTTACCAGTCTTAGCACTTTTTCTACATATGAAATTGTAGCTGACAGTAAAAGTAAATACGCATGCCCATCATCCAGCACTGAACTGCCTCTCCGTCCAAAAGAGCCTGAATGTGCAACAGCTTTCATTAAGTACAGTTACCAGTACAGAAAAGAAATGGTGAAAAGTAGTCTGTGAAGGTACAAAGCTTAGAGCAGGTGTCCAGAAGATTGCGGTGCATCCTTCTCTGGGGCTGGAGCGTGGTGTGGGTTTTCAGAAGCCCAATGCACCACCGCTCTCCTCAGGTCTGCAGCTCTTCTCTCTGGGAAGAAAAAACAGTTATGCATCTATTCACATGCTCTTGTTGCCACCTATTGAACTCTGAAAGGGAGTGACTTTTCTTTCCCCTGCTGTACTAGGGTCACGCAAGGAAACACTGGGCTGCTGGAGCCAGTTCTGTCAGCTGAAGTTCTTCAGAAAAACACACTGACAAAAGAGGTGTGGTCCAGTTCCCATGGCATACACTGTGAACCTGAGCAAATGCCATCGGCTTCTCTCACCACTTTAGGTCACTGGTTCTCAGCCTTGCATGAGCTGAGACGGAAACATAAAGAAATATGGTTACGGGGGATGGAGGAATATATTAGTAATAGCGGTAGATACTGCATGCATGGGACACATGCATACAGGGAGCTAAGTAGGCTTTGAAGAGGTTTGTTTCCTCTTAGTCGTTCCACTGCTGGTTTCTTTTTTTTTTTTCTTTTTTGCTGGGGTAGAAACCTTCCCTGTCTATTCAAATTTAATAGCTGAAGTGTAACATTTCTCAGACAGTAATGTATGTAGGTCACTGGTACTCAGTGCTATAAACTTTTTGCTTCCTCCCTAATGGGAGAGCTGTTCAAAATAGAGGCAGCAGAAATTCTGTTCACAATGCTGGAGAAACATCTTGCTAAATGACATCAACTAATTTTCACCACTTAGTGGAAAGCAATAAAAAACTTTTATTCGCACTCACAGGAGAGAGTCTTTAGCAAAATGTTTCTATCCTCATGAAAAGTTGAGAGACGGAACTGCTTCTTTCAGGTTTTAAGCCTGGAAACGGAAGATCAGAAAACACAAATGCCTCTTCTTTGATCATGCCTTGCATTAGACAATCGGCCCTGATGGGTGCATTGTTATAAAGTTAATTTCCAGAAAGAAAGTCTTTACAGGCATGCTGAAGGCCAAATTCTTTATCTTGCAATTTTGCATCTCTTAGATCAAAATGGATCTCTTTCCTAACTCCTTTGCTAAGCCTTAGCTGTGAGCGTTAATTTAGTTTGAAGGAAGCACAGAAACTTGTGGAGAGACCAGATGAACCCTGATCCATGGTGAGCAATAGCAGGTAAGAGCAGATCAGGACTGTTATGCCACAATACAGATCTGCCAGGTGCAAGCCATTCCCTTGGTCCCATTTTCAAGGGCACAATAGTTCTGCTTTCTTTTGGTTTGTTTCAGCATCCATTAAAAAGTGTCCACATTTCTATGCTGCAGTTGAAAATCCTTTCTAAGAGGATGGTGAATTAATTTTTACATCTGAAGGATGTCCCTGTGAAAAATTATAACATGTTAGCATTTAGCTAAACAAAGATTTAGCTATACTTTTTTCCCCTTGATCACTTCTTGGAGATCTGTGCTTTCATTGGCTATGAACTCTTCATCAAAGTATCTGGGCTTCTCTATCTGCAAATGAATGATAATGATGCATATATTTGGGGGGGAAGAAAAAGAAGTGGTATTAGAGGTCTTAAAGATTTAGACATGTTATCCTGCCTTCTGTAGCTTTGTTGAGTGACAGATAGACATGTGATAGCATAAATCTTGGTGTGTAATACAGGTTGTGAAAACAGCATGTGTCATACAGTATACAGATGTCGGGGCTGAACTGAAATTGCACACATAACCTTATTTTGGGCATTTCCTTGCCTGTGAACGCTTGATATTGGCACTTCGGTTTGAGGAGGAAGTCTTACGTATTTCACAAATGAGATGGGGGCAGGAGCGGTTTCATCACGTGCCACCACGGTGGCACAGGCAGCTGTCGGGGCTGGGGGCTGTATTGCTGGTGCTGGAATAGCATCGCCGCTATTCATTTGTTCGCTCGTCGGTTCATTCCAGCAAACTGGGTGGTGGAATAGCAGCGCTGGCACCACTGTCTGTGAGGACCTGGCTAGAGCAGGATGGGACGTACACTTTGGTGCTTAGGTTGGCTTTGCCATGAAGCTAAGAAAATGACAATTAAGAGCCTGTGCATAGGTGTCTACCAGTGAGCTATGTGTCTAGGCTCCTACCACGGCAGTGGAGGATGGTTCACTTGCCTTGCCACATGCACCATCTAGTGCCACTCGAGGTGTCTTAGCGCACTTTGCCTGGCATCCAGCAGTTGGTCTGGAAGGCCTCAGATCTCCCACGGATCCTCTGTCATACCTACCTGAGCCATTGCTGGGTATCTGAGACATGCCCATGGGGATGGTGCATACAACCCAGGGCCAGTTGCAGTTCCTTGCCCTTCTGCAGGGACACTCATGAGCCAGGCAGGACAGCTTGGGGTCTCCAAAACAGCTCTAGATGCCTCTGTTTAGGTAACAGATCCCTGCCTGGGAGTCCACCTGGAGCACAACGACTCTCCCTGCTCAGCTGGCTGAACCCAGCATCTCTCTGGCAGCGCTGGAGGGGTGCTGACAGCAGAGGACCCAGTTCCCGGGGAGTGGGGCACCCTCAGGGCAGGTTAAGGCGGCTGCAGTGTCCCCCCACTTCCTTGCCTCTGCTTTCCTCTCCTTCCAACCACACCGTCTCCCGCCCCCTCCCCGATTGCTTTGGCCCACTCAGCTTCCACTCCCCAGGCTTTTTTGTAGCAGCCTCATGGCTTCAGATAAAGTCCCCTAGCATCACTTCCCTCACCCCCCATCTCCTTACTCAGCCCTTTCAGACCTCCCTGCTCCCTGCTCTGCGCCTCCATGCCCCCTCCCCACTCACTCCCACGCTCCGCTCCCCTCTGCGTACCCCTGCCCCGGCGCTCCCCACATCTCGCTCAGACCCCCACGCCCTGCTCTGCTCGCTCTGCGCAGGGACTGGCCCCGATCCCCGGATGCTCCCCTGGGTCACACGTGGCCTTACTGCGAGCTAAACCCTGTGTGGCACAGGCAGAGCAAAGCGACAGCCGGAGATGGAGAGACAGGGCAAAACCAGACCTCCATCTGTTCGTGTATCCAGTCCAGGAAGGAGGTGGTTCGGCTGTAGACGCCCGGCTTGTTCTTTTCCGCACAGCCCACGCCGAAGCTGGTGGTCCCCACCAACTTCCAGACGCTCGTATCTTCACATGCTAAAGGGCCCCCGCTATCTCCCTGCAGGACAAAGAATTCAGACAAACGTCAGTGCCCCAGAAAAGGAAGAGAATGTCTATTTGGAGGGGTAGGGGAAGAGGCACAGTCCAGTAATTCAGTATCTATCTCCTATTTCTGCTCTGTTCTGGGACCTGGGAAAAGCATATGTTGCAGCAGAAGTCAGAGACTTCTCAGAGACATGTGTTGGATCCTGGTTTTTTCCCCCAGTTAGGAGGACCGTACAACAGAAGCAACATTGAAGCTTGCTGCTAAAGAACAGGCAGGTGCTGGGCAGCGTGCCTGCAGGCAGGCTGTCACTAATCTGCAGTCTCCATGCCATGGTCCTGGTCTCTCACGGCTGCTTCTCTCAAAAAGCTTCTGGCTGTTGGGCTGAGCAGAACCCAGGGTTGCAACAGCAAGCTTGTACCCCACCTCCTTCCCTGCCTGCAGTCTCGCACACTGATTTTCTGCCCCTTCCCAGACACTTTGCTAAGCAGATTCAACCCAATAGACTCACATCTAAGTACTGAAAACTATCAACTTCTTTTTCTGGGGCAGTTTCCTGCCCTATGAGCATCAAAACCAGCACAACAACAGGAAAAAAGGGAATTTGGAACAAGCCTCACCCTTTAGCGAGTGAGGCTCATTTTGTCACGTGGAGCCATAGGCTGAGCGTGATGCCTCTGGGCAGCTCTCCCAGGCACGGTGACATGCTGGTGCCAGGTACCTTGCTGGGAGCGGGGTGTGCAAACAGGCACTTGAATGAAGTTCTACACACCTAATGCCTTCGCTTTGTCTTGTCCCCTGTGTAATTGGCATTGAGCAAATCTGGAAACATGAAGTTCCTCCCCTACCCTTGCTTTTCATCTGCGACTAGCTAGGTGAGTCCAGATTAGCGTGTATGGGGCTGAGACCTGGTAAAAGGTGAGCGCCATCATGACTCTGACAGTTATTTTGAATCATCACCACCCTGTGATGTGAAGGATCCTCCGATCCATCACTGGTACGAACCCATCTTCCCCAGACTCATTACCAATTGTCTGAGTTACTCAAAAACCTCTCTCTTTCTTCCTTCCCCCTGCCTCACTCTACTTTTTCCAAAATCACATGCTTCTGCTTCTCTCTTGATATATGCTTTGGCTGCTTTTCACCATGGGGTTTCTACACCTTGTAGGTCTCCAGAGCTGCTCACAGTGCAGTGCAGTTCAGTGCAATGCAGAGGCCACAACAAGGGCAAAGAAAGGATGGAGCCATGCTGTAGCACATGCAAGAAGTTAAAAAATATCTTAAGTAAATTTGGCTTCAGAAGTATCAGATATGGTCCACAGAAGAAATATAAGAAGGGGATTGCAGCATATGAATGCATTCACAGTCAGCGATCGATATTCATGGTAAACAGAGTAAAATGGCACAAAACCAAATGTTTGCCCAAGAAAAGCCTGGGAGTGCCTTGTGATATCTTATCGCTCATGTTTTTCCATTGCTGATGTTAATGAGCACAGTTGCAGTTTGGAAACTTCCGTACCTGGCAGGTGTCTACCCCTCCCTTTAGAAAACCGGCACAAAGCATTGAAGGAGTTATGATCCCACCATAGACATCCCTGTGATTGCAAATTGCATTAGAAATCAGAGGAACACCTGCATAATTCATGGTGTCAGATGTATCGCCTATTAAAAACAGAAAAATAAAACAAAGGACTCACTGTCCTTGAAACTAATCTCTGATTATAAACAGAAAATATTTTTGGCATATGAAGAATCGGCAAGCAAAGGTGGAAGAAATATGGTTAAAATGACATACAAGTCAGGCAACTAGATGTCTCATCACTTACAGAATCCAGTAACTAGCGACTATAGAGCTGTAGATTAGATTATCACAGTATATAATATAAAGCTGTACATTATGTGTTTCTACTTCAAACTAGACAATCAATGACAGTAATGAACTTAAAAGCTAGTTGGATACTGTCTTCAATACTACTGCCAAAATTTGTGCCAAATTTATACCCTGTTCCATTAGTTAACAAATCATCTACAAACATCTGGTTTATTTTATAAATAATTATTTTATTCAGAGCCTGAATTAATCATTTCTACAGATGGGAGCAATTGCACACTGTCTATTGCCAATTTATAGCTGACTTTCTGTGTGGTAAACTTCGCTTTTGTTTTTTTCCCACTTTTCACTATTATCTGTAGGTCAGGTAACATACTGTTCTTATTCTCTGAACAACAGGAACACATTAAATGAGACAAATGAAGAATAACAAAAACAATGACCTGAGAAACCAAGTATTTTCACATGAAAGTGATTCAGTATATATTATTGACTAATATGACCTGTGAGTCATGGTAAAAAAAAAAAAGAATTCCCTTTTCTTTGTGACATTATTCACAGATTCAATTTCTACATCATCCAACCCTCCTGAAAATACATACATGCTTCCTCTGAAAAAAATGGATGGTTGATTCTTAGATTCATTCTGTGCTTTATAGGCTTGAAGTTATAAAGGGGACAGCCTGTTTGGCTGAGGCTGAGTACAACATTCTGGCTGGTGTTGCTGTCTACATGTGATTTTTCAGCCTTTTCACAGAGTGTACCCATCCATTCCTTGTGAAATGGGTTTGCACAGTACTTTTGCCTTCGTTGACCCTATATGTATGTATGTGAGATGTTTTCATGTAGTGTAATCAACAGCAGACAATTTAAAATACCTCCTTCCACAGTTGCTCCCCATCCTGATATCCAACACATTTTCCCTTCTGGGAACTGTTCACCAAAATTAGGCAGACAAATTGGCTCTATGTGACCTATTTTTAAAAGAGAGAGAGAGAAGAAAGAAGTGCTTTTAAAATCTGGCAAAAAAATTGTATGCGTCAGTAAAACTTGAGGATTTGGCTTGCAGTGAACTTGTTATGAACAGCACCCGCTCCCCACCTAAAACAGCCAGGCGGTTCTGCAGGTCTCTTGTTGTATGGCCCAGGTCCGAAACGGTACCTACACCGGCCCTAATGAGCTTCAGGTGTGAAGCAACAGAAGGAGGTGTTGGTGTGTCAATAAACCGAAGAACGAGCAAACAAGAAATACGCCGTGTACGCGGCTGCCGGGCGGACGGGAGACCCCACGGCACGCCGCTGGGGCGGAGAAGTGGCCTTGGCTGACCACGGCAGCACTGCACGGCCCCTCCTAACAGGTTTTGTGCGGCGGCACGCGCAGAGC